GAAAAAAAAAACAAAAAGAAGGGAATCATTTTTTTATTTTCTAGAAGCATACACACACAACCTCCCCTCACATAGGTTATTTTTTTAGAGCCCTTCTCTCCACCTGCCTGGGTTATAGGGGCCACATAAATACTATCGGGAGCGGTTAACTTCTTCCACCCGTGGACAGAGGATAAAATCCGGGAAGAACCTGGTCTCTTTTACGAACAGGCATGTCAATAAAAAAAAAATTCTGGTGCCCGTCCACCCTTATTCACAACAAAACCCAAAAATTTTTTTGTTTTTTCCCCCCCCCGCCCACCTTTTTTTTCATGAAGAAAACGGGGGGGGGGGGGGGGGGGGGAGGGGGGGAAAGAGATGAAATGTCGAAAAGGAGCAAACCGAGCAACGATTTTATATTATGACCATGGAGTTCTGTATTGCCACTGGAAGGGGTAGGCAATTTGGGATCCAATTACCTAACTAGGGTTGAGTGCGGAATATTATTGACGAATACGTCTAATATAATTCTCCTAATCTTCTACCTTTCTCCTTTAGTCTTTCTCTCTGCTCCTCTCCTTTTTCAATCTTTCTATCTTAGGTGTGCATGTCATCTTCGTCTCACTCGATTATCATCTCATTTCTCCAGATATCGCGTCTGAGCGTATGAAGTGAGGGGAAAAAATACACCAAGGGCAAGAGATGTTACTTCATATCAACTCGTCTCTGTATGATCGACGCAGGAGTTTTGCTACAGGCTCCTGCGATGCCATTATTTCACTATCACTGACTGGGTTGATGCACGTTTCCCGACTTCACTCACTCTGCACTCCGCACTCCCCTACCCGAGTTTCATATATCCGTCTTCTTATGTATTTATCTCTTATCGGACCTTGCCTGGGATTCATGCATGTTACTTTTTACTGCATCCGTGAGCCATGCGGGTCAGATAGAAGATTGTGTCTGCCACTTGACATGACTTTCTATTGTCTTAATTACTAAATTTTGAAGGAATTAGTTGATGTTTTGAGTTTCCATGGAATGGCGGTAAATTCACAGCATGCAGTTCTCAGACCCCGGGTGATTGAAGATGCCTGGCTATCTATCACAACGGATAGAAATGACTTTTACATCTCCCAAATCCCACCGTTGGCCCTTTGCGCATCCAGTGTGGAGTTTATCAAAACAGGGGTGCCGTCATATCCATGTCAATAATAATGGATATCACTAGATACATCATACATGTGACGTGTGACTATCCTCGACTGATCCATGGATGAGTTTCCCCTGCCAATACAGGGACTTTTCAACTCACTCCCGAATAATACGGCGTATTCAAGGTCAGGACGGCCGAGGCCAAAAAAATCCTCTAAATGCACCACCAAATTTGCACCCTATCGTGGCTCGCGCCTTTCAAGCCTCACTATTGCATCCATCGTTTAATTATTCACTAAATAACCCTACGGGAACCCTCCCAGAAGTTTAATTTACTGCCTCCGATGTTCAGAAACTAGTTGGGATCATGGTGAATCGGCGATGTCTGCTTCTCCCAAGCACACAGTTGAGCTTGAGCTTGAAAAAGATATGTGGAATCTCCTGGACACCGCCAAATGCCACCCCATCACTTTGGGCGGCTTTGTCCTAGATCATACCACCTTTAAGAGTGCGAGACAGGCCTCCCTTTACAGGCCATTCTTTTGGCCAGCCCTTACCATGGCAATCGATATGCTTCTTCCAGGCAACATCTCAGATCCAGCGACCTTGTTGCAAGATGTCTGTGGTCCTGGGCAATCAAATGACAAAGCTTTACGAACGATCCTATCGTTAATCGGGATCTACTGTCTTGACAGAGTACCACTTACATCCCCCTGCGATGACGTGCTCCCAGTCGTAAACCAACTATACAAAACAAGCAGGATGATGGGAAGCGCATCTGTGAGCTTAAACATGGTATGTGCGCAGTGGAAGAAAGAGCCCGATGAGTGGTATGAAGGACTGAACGAAGAACCCGGTTCTTATCTTTGGTAATACCTACGATGGCCACACGCCTCTTGTCTCTGCTAAGAATGTCAGCGCTGCGATTGGGATAGCGTGGTGCTTGAACTTAATATACACGGTGTAAGCACAAGTTCCATATCAATAAATCCATCCTGTGAAAAAACGAAAAACAGTGGAGGCAGGGAGGTGGAATGACACACCAACCACAGCTATTCGCAAACAACTCAGCATGGCTCCATCGCCCAGCCGTCAAGCTGTACCTGCGAAAAGCCTCCGCCTATTTAGAACACGGAACTCTTTCTGAACCGTAAGTGGTGTGTCAAGCCCGAGGGCAATCCATACGCGAATATGAATGACGTTTTGGAAACTCGGGTGATAAGGAACCAAAGGCAAAACGCCATAGGCGGGATGCTTATGACGACATGTCTAAATTTCGGGACCTATTGTCCAACTCTGGGGGTTGGCTGGAGGGTGATGTTGGTCGCTAATAAGTAAAGCATACAAGGGATGCGGCAGGTTCTCTTAAATCATGTATATCATTGTACTAATATGTAACTAGTTTGAGCAGGGTCTTTTTTTACCGACTTCATAAAGATATCCACTTCGTTCTATTTTGGGATATTATATAGACGATAGACTTGAGGCATACAAAGACCAATCATTACTACTTTCGCTACTATTCTCTAGTTAGGTGGGCCATTCTCCAAACTTCGCTCAGGGGTAATTAAATCAATATTCGTTAGCTAGATAAATCTGGCATCCATTTCTTTGCAAGCCACATGAACCAATCTTGGTAAGGGGAAGAAAACTCAATTATCCGTCCCAATGCCTCACCTCCTAGAAAATAACGGGGGATACATGAAAGCAAAAAGTTCTCAAACTGTAGTTGGGAATGCGAGAGACCAATTCAGAAACTGAAGAGCATGTTCACCTCATCATTGACAGCATCCGTCGCCACCAAAGGCGGTAAGCCAACCTGCTGGAGAGTCCAAGACGTTCCTCACGTCCTTCTGGAATCTTAGCGATTGGAGAATATAACAGAATGTCCGAGACTTCCTCCACGAGATCTCTCCCTGCTGATCCAACCCACCACGACATATAGTCTCGACCCGCTCTATCTAATAGAACACCAAAATACATAAGGATGAACAATGCCATCGGTTCCCGATTCTTGACAGCTGATATGTAATCTCGACCACCGATGGCAACCAACAACAAGAAGTAACCCTTGGGACACCCGCAAACGTTCCTCCGCAAAACAATATTTTATTTACGCAACAGTTATTAGGTATTCTTCTCTTGCAAGAGGGGATTGCTCTCTACCACATACAGCTGTGTATCTCGAGGCGGGTACACGGATCTGGCGGCTCACAATGGAAAGCTTCTGAATAGTGGTAATGGTGTCAGGGCCCAAGATTCCCATCGACAGTGGCTTATAGTTGATTACGTCGCGGGATGAGCAAGGTGCCTCTCTTAGCCATTTGAAATTGAAACACTGCGATGTTGCAGGCGCCAAGCATCAAGTCAAATATAATGGATATGCGGTCCGATGCGGTTTGTTGTATATTTGGCAGGACGAATTGCATGAGCGCTGAAAGGCTGCGAGGTGATAGAGCAAATAGAGGTTCTCTTGGTTGATGTTTTCGAGCTCGGAGCGGAAGCCGGCGCTGGCTTTGTTGCTGTGCTGTAGAGCTGTACACAGTAGCGGATTCGGTTTCGTTGGAGGATAGCACTAGATCGACTGCGGTTGCGGCGAGAAGGCTATTCATGACTTAACCCTCTTTCAAAGCGGCGCGTGGGAGTATTGTTTGCATATACGGTTCATCTGCGGGAATGCTGTATAACCCAATCCACATCCTTGATATCCATCGATGCATGAGCTCTAATTCCAATACTCTGTTAGATTCAGAAGTGCTTGAAAATGAGACAGGGGAAATGAGCGGATGGATCATCCAGGAGGTCATAGGCATCCCTGATGATGACTGCGATGAGTCCCTGGAGAATTGTTTCCGGGAGTCGCGAGACGATCCATCTCTGGAGATTCGCACGAACGCTGTCGCCGTCTTCGTCCTCCTAGCCTTTGCCCTTACCTCTGAAGGAGATTGATAGACACAATCTGTCTTTCACACAAAGCGGTTGGCGCATACGGGAAACTGTTCATCACACTGTTCAGATGGGAATTAGTTGAGCAGATAATCTCGTCTCATTGTGCGTATCTTATCTAGGTAGGGGCGAATAAGTGTCTCAATGTGATTTACAGGCCTCAAAACACACCTCTCACATGTTTTTTCTTGCAATTCAGACACCCTTTGCGCGATTTGTTATGAGATATCCCCTTTGCATAGTGAAGTTGACGGCATTAACAACAAGCTTTTTTCGAATGAAGAGATAAACTCAAACAGGAGAATGAGGCCACCGAAAGAAACGTGAATGCCTTTTTAAACATAAAAGGTCCGAAATCTGAAAATGCACGTCACCGTCACAAGGAATCTACAGGGCTGAATTTAACTGAACGAGCCCGGAAACTGGGTGGCTATGTTTTGGTGCAATCAACAGCTTGGGATCCGCAAAAGCCCCTTCGCGAGCCACTGAGCAGTGAGCAATAACGAGCACTGAATCCCAGCAGCTATTCAGCCCCGAGGACAAGACCAGTTCGAGCTACACGCCGCGCTGGACGGTAAGACAATTGGATAGCGTCTCTGCACATTCTCCCCCAAACATGGCCCCCAAGTTAAAAAATGACAACAATAAAACATGAGAGGATCTCGTCGACCCAATACAACTGTTCGCATCAGGCCAATTACTGACTCGTCAACGGATACTCCGTAGAGAGCACTGAACACTCAACTTGGCGCTCGTTCAATGGATGTGATGTCGGCAAATGACTAACTATTAAGTAACCAGTTAACTAACGTAATCAATAAGTGAGCGAACCATATAAGCGAGCGAACCACTTCCCACTCTCTGTACAATGAGAATGTCTTCAAAGCCTCAACTATAAAGAAAAACTAGCAAATTACATTATAAATTATTTTCTATACACTTAGAGCATGTACAGGCAGTATGCTCAATAATCCCACAGACACTACACTGTGGTGCTGCACATTTTTGTGATTGTGACTCAGCAGCCTCAACCATCCTCTGCTCTCATTCATTGACTTTTTGTACATGATTCAAGCCTTCTTCAACCCTCAAAGCACTCTCTTAAGCTACATATATACAGCCTCTTTCTCACTTTCTCTTTTGTTTGGCATTTTGAGTCCTTAACTCCCTGTTTTCAGCTGCTAAAATAGTAGTATTGTGTATTATCATATGATATCCTTTGACCAGCTGACTTATAGCATGATTGATTAGACTGAATGGGCTCTGTTTACAGTGCTTGATATATTCTTTAACTTTCTCAGCCTGCTGCTTCAATTGGCATACATTATGTGGTGTGGCTATCACCCAGTAGGCCTGGGAGCTGTGAGAGGTCCCTAAAAGAGTAAAGATATACATCATGATATTAAGCTGTAAAAAAACCTGCTTAAAATCATACAGAACCAGCTTAGCAGCTCTAAAGCTGCTATTGATATTGCTCTCAGTCAGGGCCTGCATCTGAGCTGCAGAATAGAGACTCAAAAACTCCTTCTTGTCAATATAATTGATTTCAAACTGTATCTAGTTTTCCACCTGCTGTCTGTACACAGTTTTCAGAGGTGAGAAGCAGCCAATATCCAATGACTGAAGAAGATAGGAGAAATGTGATGACATGTAAAGAGTAATAATCTGATTCTCAGTGCAAAATTGATTAAATTCAACTGAAGCATGGCTTTGATATTAGTTGAGAATCAATAGTCAATATCTGCTCTTTGTACAGAGTAGAGTCTTATTATTGAACATTTTTTTCAGTCAGTATAAGCCTAGCTGATCAGTGGTCCAATCATTCTCACTGACTTCAATCACCTAGTTGTATGATAGTCCTTTTGTCTCATACCAGCAGGATTGATGCATTTTTCCTTTGAGAATAATCATTGTATGTAAGACTCAGTCAGTTGCATTAACTTCAGCAATAACAGTCACTTATTCTCAATCTTCAGACTGTACAAGTTTGAGATTTCCAGCTCTTTCAAATTTAGTCATCACCCTAGCAATCTCAATTATACTCATCTAAAACTCTGTCTCATCAAAGTTATAGATATTATCTTTCAGAATCCCATACTTCACAATAGTATTTTATATGAGCTTAAATCACTCACAGATAATCTTAAAATCCTCACATAGAGCCTGCTGATGATCATACTTGCATGAGAACTTGAATTTCAGCTTATCATGATGCTTGACAAAGTTTCATACTCAGTATTTATTCACTGTAAGTGGGAGGTTGGATCCTCAACTGATAAGAAGAAGATTAACCATTTCTCATACAGCTGCAACTCAGGGAGGCTGATCTCACTCATCCATGATCAGAATTCATTGAACAAGAGATTCTTCCTCTGTAAGACTAAGTTTCCAGTTCTTTGAGGTTATGTCAACACGTGTCATACAACCATATATGCGATAAGTTAAAGTTGCATAAGAGACTTCATATAGCTTTGCTGCAGCTCATACACTTGAAGTTTGATCATTTTTAAGTGCTTGAATGGCTAAAAGAAGCCTTCCTTCCTGAGTAGAGGCTTTATTTTTTTGTGTGGTTGACATTTTTGATGCAAAGCAATTCTCATTGTATGAAGGGTGAGAAGTGGTTCGCTCACTTATATGGTTCGCTCGCTTATTGATTACGTTAACGTTAACTAATCAGTTATGTCAGCCGGACGAAAACGGCGTCGTTCTGTTCTAATCGGGCATGGTGAAGATTTATACGAAATACGCCGAGTTCAAGGATTGAGCAGTGTCAGAATGGTCCGTGGCCCGCGGGTCCAGGAGCTGCCCTAGAATCTTCAAGACAAAGCCCTCCTTAATATACCTCAACGTCAACTTGATGGCTACTGATATCAACGCAGGATCCCATCTGAGTTGTTCCGTCACTGTTTGTTGTTGGCCTGGAATGGCATTCGATCTCTCGAAACACGGGACTGGCATACCCCCAACACTGATTGCAAGCCTCCCGAACTTGATGGTATTCTCCAATCTAGTGGGCCGAGAATTGTGGCAATTCCCGATCCCCGATACGGAGCTTTCCCCATCATTGATTGACCAGAGGGGCAAAAATCCTGGAGTAAGAGTTACAACCCGCCTAGTGTGCGGTGTACTATTCGCTCGTATAGTCATGGCTAGTCCAAGGCGATGATTCCCGTTTTTGTTAACGTATATAAATACTGGAAATTCCTTGGCTGAACTTTTGTTCATCAATATCGGACGTCTCCTAATCTTCTCCTACAGCTTATAATTGTTTTGATCTGAAGGGGTATTCCCTCTTTCTTTTCTTTACTTTTGACAGCCCTACCCCTTCTGGCGGCCTCCAATAACGAAGTTCTTAGAAATCACTTCACGATTTGGTGAGCTCTCCAATGGAGGCTCAACCATGACCATGGAGTTGTTGAATATCAAATCCCCAGCTCCAGCTGGGAGCAACGAAAGTAATCATACGACGCTATCTATAAACCAGCCTGAAGATGTCGGTTCTTCCCCGAACGATTCACCGCGTGATACGTATGAAGACAACTCGCCTTCGGTAACAACCAACTCCCTGCAACGATGGAACTATCCAAAACGCAATTTTTTTCGATTTATAGCGACCAATTTTAGCTTTACTATCTTGGGAATTAATGATGCAGCCTATGGTGTAAGTTAATGCCGTGGATGGACTTCCATATATGACACTGAACCATAGAACACTTCTGCGGGGACCATTAGCTGACATAACTCAAAATCGAGAAAAGGCTCTTATACCTTATGTATGATTATGATCCATTTTCTCCATTGCCATGGCCAGAAGAGGAATATATATGTCTGACCTTTGCTCTACAATTAGTTGGAAGAATATTATAAGGTTTCCTACACCGCCATATCCTTGGTCTTTTTATCACCCCTAGGAGGATATATAACGTCGGCCATGCTGAACAATATGCTCCACATGCGCTTCGGACAGTGCGGGCCAGCTATCCTTGGCCCTATCTCCCATCTGGTGTCCTATATAATAGTCTTCCTTCACCCTCCCTACCCTGTCCTGATCATAGCCTTTATCATTGCTGGTTTCGGAAACGGTCTAGCAGATGCTGCATGGAATGCATGGGTAGGCGCAATGTCCAATGCAAATGAGCTGCTTGGTTTGTTGCACGGTTCCTATGGTCTGGGGGCATTGCTAGCGCCAATGATGGCTACCTCTCTTATCTTAAAAGCAAACTGGGAATGGTATGAGTTTTACTACCTGGTTGCTGGTGGTGCCTTTTTGGAACTCGTGCTTTTAGGAGCAACGTTCTGGAATGCAACAGGACATCAGTACCGTGAGGAGCATCCGCGTACAGACACGGTAATCGCGAACACCGCAACATCGCACGAAGAACACCAGCGCAGGAAGAGGGATATCATCTTCACCAAAATATTCGGCACTAGTCGCACAGCTGAGGCTGCGAAGAATAAAATAACCTGGATCTGTTCATTTTTTCTGATTGCCTACGTTGGAATCGAAGTCGCTCTGGGCGGGTGGATCGTCACATTTATGATCCGCGTTCGGCATGCGTCACATTTCGCATCCGGTATGGCTTCGACGGGATTCTGGGCCGGCCTCACGATAGGCCGAGTGGTCCTCGGCTTTGTGACTCCGCGATTATTCAAGTCAGAAAAACATGCTGTGGCCGCGTATCTTCTAGCTACCGTAGGCCTCGAGTTGCTCTTTTGGCTTATTCCACAGTTCGTTGTTTCCGCCGTGATGGCTTCCTTGCTCGGGTTTTTCCTAGGGCCCTTGTTCCCGGCAGCCATTGTCGCTGCGACGAAGTTACTTCCAAAACATTTACATGTGAGCGCTATTGGATTCGCCGCTGCGTTAGGTGCGTCTGGCGCCACTCTCTTGCCATTTGCTGTCGGGGCCATCGCCCAGGTTAAAGGGGTACAGGTCTTGCAACCGATTGTGCTGGCTATGCTTATAGTTGATGTGGCGATTTGGCTGTGTCTTCCCAGCCTGTCAAAAGTGATGCGTTGAGGCGCTTCCGGAAGGAGAATTTTGTATAGAGGAGGATAGTCACTGGTAAATAGGAGTGCCTCTGTCACTCCTCTCAGCCTCTGGAGCTTTTCTTCGCATGACAGAATGAGATCATGCTATACGGATCTGGCAATAAACCAAACACACGCTGCGATATCCGGAGATTTACGGAAAATTTGGGTTAACCTAAACGTTAGAAAGAAAAAAGGAAATAGAAATGAATTATTCACATTGGAAAAGACAGGCCTTTTTTAAAACATGCTATTTTCTGCGCCGTGTTTGTTTGAAATTCTTATTTGCCACTATGACTCTGCCGTATCTGTATATGATATAGATATCTACAATATATATATATATATGTATGTATGCAATGGCACGTAATGGCAATTGTACCTTACTGTGGCTGCTAGTTCTTTCATAATTGTATCTATTCATCTGGTAATTCGCACTTTGTAAACTTGCCATCTCCTTTGCTCTCCTGTGGCGGAATTTGTTGCTCAGTTTGCGTCATGGCATTGATCAAAGTATGTTTTCCCGCCTTACCACTCGACAAATGATTTTCAACAAGCTGTAACTACACAACTACGTTGTAGATTATTTGTTAACAACATATAGAATCCCTGTATTACCCGCCCGGATACTTTAATATCTACTTGAGAAACAGAGATGAGGTGCCTGAACCATTCTTAATCAAGCAAAAGAAACACCACCTTGCAAGGGGGATGGAGATTGCCGACTTGCCAAATGAAAGCGATATAATGCAGATGGACGTCAATGACGATGGCAGCATCACATCCTATGGAAGAAATGGTTCACCCTCTAGCCCGCACCCAAAAAGATTTCCCAAATCCTCATCCCGCCCGCCCAAGCCTAAGAACGTATCCCACCCTTTACAGACAGGAATACGTAATTATCTCAACAACCACTATCGTAACCATAATCACACACAACAAAACTTCCTCTCATCGCAGTCGATATCATCACTTCCCCTCCCCAAAAGATTCACAGTCTATCCCCCTCTTCTCCTACTCCCCTCAAACGCTTTCTCCACGCCAGCTGAATGGGCCGCGCTCTACAATTCCCTCTCCAGCGACCAGCGCCAGGAGTTATATGCATGTATAGCTGCATCATTTGCATCCATGGGCGTCACGCACATCGCCATGAATGCACCTATAGTGCCCACGATGACGAAGGTGGCTAAGGTTATGAGAAGCGAAACTCAAATGGAGAATCGTATTCGAAGCCCAACGGGGTTGGTGCCGTTTGTATGGGGATTTTTGGAGACGGGGAAGATGTTGCAACCGGGGAGGTGAATGAAGAAGAAAAGGAAGCCAATCCTACAGAAGCAGCTTTCCACTCTGCATTGTGGGTTCATTCGGTGCAGAACAGGGGCATCGTGCAGATCTGGGCGCCGCTGCATTCTATGTTTAGTCGTGGGAATGTTGTGGAGAAGGCGAGAATTATGGGGATTGAGTCGAGGTTTGAGGGTCTAGATGACGGTGATTTTGGGGATGAGCTAGAGGGAGGGAATAGGAGAAGGAGGTTACTGGGTCAGAAAATCGAGGATGTTGCGGTTGTTGATATGTATGCTGGCATCGGCTATTTTGTGTTTTCGTACCTGAGGAGAGGAGTTGGGAGGGTGTGGGGATGGGAGATTAATGGATGGTCTATTGAAGGGCTGTGTAGGGCTTGTCGGGAGAATGGATGGGGGGTTAAAGTGGTGAAGATTGATAAGGAGACAGGGGAGGTGGAGGGAGGAATTGATGTGTTAGTTGAGGGATTGGGAAAAGAAGATCGTGTGGTGGTTTTTCATGGTGATAATCGGTCTGCGGGCAAGGTGATGTGGGATTTGAAGGAGGCACTGCAGCAGAAGGGAAGGTGGAAACGCATTCGACATGTTAGCCTCGGATTGTTGCCGAGTTCGAAGCGGGCTTGGGAGGGGGCTGTGAGAGTTCTTGATACGGAGGCGGGAGGTTGGATTCATGTCCATGAAAATGTGGGCGTGAATGATATTGAAATGATGGAAGCGCAGATTGTTGAAGGGTTCAATTCTCTGCTCATATCAACTAGAGGGGATGGAAAGCTTCTATCATCGTCGGCATATTCTGGTATCTCTATAGCGGAGTGTATTCATGTGGAAAGAGTTAAAACGTACGCACCAGGGGTGATGCATTGCGTTTTTGACATTTATATATCACCTTCAGCTGGTTGGTTGGATAAAGACAAAATTTAACACTTCCATTAACAGGTCTCTGTTCGTTATCCCTTGTCTCGCTATTCCAAGTATAACTACCAAAAGTAAGACCAATGGGGGAATATAAAGAAATAAGAAAGAAAAGAAAAGAAACGGTTATATGGGAAAACAAAGAACAAAACCAAACACTCAACGATATCACAAACGTGGTCAGTTGTATTCCTTGAAACATGATATGGTTCGGACATGATGAACAAAAGCAAATCATCAGGCTCTTGGTTAAGGAAATAAACGAAAAGTCAACATATGCAACAGGGTATAATAGAAGATACGCCATCTATCAGGAGGTCATCTATGCAGATGGGCTCTTGAGGAACTTGGCTGGTATATTAGTTTCAACGATGGCCATTTGTTCCATGATGTCGAGCTGAACCTGAGCATTTTCTGCATGGTCATGTTGTCGAAAGTGCTCGATGTCCTCGGGATGCGTAAGGTCCTCCTCTGTCGCACCTTCGCCGTGATACTTTTCGAAATGGTGTATTTCATATTCGTACTCCAAGTCGCCATGATGCCCTGGGCCTGTGTCAAAGTCCGGCAGCTTCTTTCCTTCACGAGACAGGCGCATCCATTCGTCTTGCGATATAACTCCCGTATGATTTGGGTCAAAAATGGTGTATACTTCTTTAAGAATCTCCTGTTTGCGCTGCTCCGAGAGGCTGGCATTCGAATCGTCGTCTAGCCCGTAAGTTCTGCGAACTTCGTCAGTTGTCCATGCCCCTGAGCTGTCGTAGTCATGAAGCATGAAAAAGGAACCAGCATCGAAATCGGAGATATGATGTTCCTCTGGAGTTAATTCCACTGTCAGCATATACTCTAAATTGCTTGAGGCAGGACTTCACAATCAAAGGTAAAAAATGTTTACTTACCTACCATATGCCGGGTAGCCCAGTCTTTGATGTTGCTTAGATTATCTGAACGTGAGCCATGCGCCAGACATAACTGTGACACTGCCAGGAAAGTCAACAAGAGCGCAATCATATTTCTAGTGTAATCTGTACGATCCGCCCAAATGTGTTAGAGGGGGAGGTGTTTGGTTTGTCTGTGTACATACATATAATATCTGGTTGTCCTAAGGCCTCTCTCATCGGCTTATTTGCACTGTTTGCACCCCTCATCCCACCCGAAATCAACCTAATCCCATTTTCTATCCCGACTCCATCGCAAGAAGGTAAATAAATTTCCGTGCATTGCTCACGAACGCTGTCTCCAATGCCTCTCAATTTGCCCTGCTCTGCTTTCTATTTCTGATGCTGCTTATATTGGTGATCTTCAACGACTTAGAAGTCTAGTTGACCCTTCATTCCACTCTGAAGACCTCTTAAATCGATCCACTTCCTCTCCGAAATCTAACCCGTTCTTCTCCCCATCATTCCTCCGCTCTTTATGATGCCAAGATAATGCAAGGTCTTTGGTCTCGAACTGCCCTGTCGACAGGGTCATGCCGGTGTGTCTCTTGTCTACGCAGCGGTTCCAATGCTGTTGCAGGACAAGGACCCACGGCAGCCGGACGGCGCCGGCTCTACATCGGGAATTCCGTTACGCTCCTTTACTCCGCTCTTTTTGCAACAGCCATGATATTTGACGCTGATGCGAAAACTAAACGGCGTACTGAATTGGAAAAGAAAATCGAAGCCGTGAAAGAGGAGGTGAAGGAATTGCGGATTGAAGAAGCGCGGATATTGGATGAAATTGCTGCCCGGAGGAGAGTGAGGCAGCTTGCCCTTCCACTGCAGAGACGAGAATACAGTACGTCTGCCGTCACTTCTCGACAGTCTTCTACGTCCTTTGAGGGGTTCCAGGATGTAAACTCGTTTTCGGCCGGGCCATTTGAAAACTGGGAGCCATCCACGTTTAAGGATCGTCCCGACATGATTACAGACGGTTTTGAAATGGGGTCTGCTAAGAAGAGGGAACCGACTGACGAAGATGAGCGTTTCTATCGACAGTATGATTTGGCAGGGGAAGATATTCTGCGAGAGAGGGCAATTCAGCTCTTAGCAATACGGCAACTCGCCATTAAGTTGCTCCTTCGTCCCAGTATTGCTCATTCCTATGGCGAAGTTGTGGCGGATTATGGAGAACGCTTCGATCATCCAAGATTTAGAACTCAAGATTATCTAGTCGAGTTGCACTTTCTTAAAAAACGGATCACTCGGTTAAGGTTTTGGAGGGACGAATCATACGACGATATAGTTAGAAATATTACAGTTCGGGAGCAAGCGTTGCTCCAGCAGGAACGGCAGGAATTACACAACAACCTCCAGGAGTCGTTTGCGTCCTTTGGTAAAAAAGCTGTATCCCTCCAACGACTTCTTCTGATTGTCTCAGAAAACCTGTTGGCTTCAGACGAACCGATTTTACCGCAGACCGTCGAACTTATGATTACGCAATTTACACGAGCTAAGCAAAATGATCTTGTGAAAATGGTCATTGATTCTTTGTTTCCAAACAGGATCAAGATGACCCCTCCTATCATCGTTTCCGCGATAAACTTTTTTAATAAGACCAAGGATCTCTTCGGTTTTGATGGATTCTTGCGTCTACTCCAAGGAGACAGCTTCCCCGTTAACATACCCGTGTTATGGGAGACTGTCAGGGTTGGAGACGTTCAAGTGACAGTTCCCCCAAAGCCCCGCCATCCGTTTATAATGAATGCTCTCATTTCTGCCTCCCTGAGTTTTAATCAACCCCAGAACGCCGACGCCTACCTCCATATCCTTCGCGAATCTGGCTACAGCGATGGGGCTCAAGTCTTGGGTTCTTACCTGAAATTTTACATGTTATCGTCAAACTGGAGGAAAGGCGGGTACGTCCTACTCCGATCTGTCGCTTTCATTATGTCAACAAAAGCACATTTTGGAAACACGATTCACCGCCTGATTCTCTACATGGTTGCTTTCTGCAATGGCTGCGGGAAGGATGCATTGTCTGCAACCATAGTTAAGGCTGCTGTAGAAGCTGGAATTGATTGGAGACCGAGCTATAACAAGAAAGACATTCAGATTTCGGTTAAGAAGGCTTTGAGTCAATGGACCAGGGCTGCTGAGCATTCCTCAACTGACATTCCAACTAACATGTCTCTGGGAGAAAGATGTTACGAGTTCGCCAAACAAATTGAGCAACCAATTCGGGTGTCAATTAATTATAGTGAAAATGCCCTCCGACGTAATCTTCGGCTAGAGCATGAAAGGGAGGAGAGTAGTTTCGATGTGCGGCATGCAGGTCAAGTTTCTGAAGCACAAAATGGAAAACTATCCACTCATGCCAGCTCCTGTTCCGATCTCCATAAGCTAGGACCCTCCCAGACAAAACAAGCTCCGAAACTAGCTCAAATGGTGCCCGATTCCTCTAATCATTTTCCAGTCTACTATACTAAAGCCGACAAGAAAAATGGTGAAAAAGCCGTCCTGAGATTCTCTCTAAGGAAATCTTCCGAAGAACGGATGGAAGCTTTACCATCCACCGAAGAGATAAGAAGAAATCACTTCCAGGGAAATTTTAGGTCGTTATTCCATTCGTTGGGAGTCTCTCAGAAGACAATTATGGACATAAAACGGGAAATACGTGAATATGAATTTCGGATTCGTGCTTCGGGAGAGCCAACCCATACGGTCAAGAAGGAGTACTTCGGAGAGGCTTGCGGATCATTATTCTATTTGTTAGCGGTCTCTCAGAAAACTATTGGAGACTTGCAGCGGGAAGTGGACGCATATGGACTCCGTATTCGTGCTGCGTAGCGCCAATTGAGGGATGAGCTGAGCTGCTGGAGAAGTGACGATTTGGTCTTCTGATTTGTGAAAAGCTTTGAATTTTTACCACTGCCACATATCCACAAGGATTGATTTTTTTGCAAAGGCATTTATTTATCCACTAGTTTTTATGGATTCGCATGGTACGTGAAATAATGACGTATAGAATTGTGCTTACGAATACAAATCCCGCCCGTTGGAGTTCCATCTTGGAGGTTCTCTTTCCTAACATCCACATGTGCGCACTTCATATAACGAATGTCCTTTGCTAGGGAATGTGGACTAGCGACAGCCGGTTATGTTACAAGAGTTCGAGGTCCTTACCGTGTTATTTCCTTACGAGACGTGGCCCGGGAAAATGAGCAGTTGTGCGAATCTACCACGTTCAAGTGAAGACTCAAACGAAATCGTCCTTCGAACACCCGTGTTCTGTGGCGTCCTGGGAACTGAATTCTTCACGCAAAATTCCTTCCGCCTGGAACTCTTCTTTTGTGCAAGCTGGTCTACTTCTCGGCCCATCACCTCTCTACCAGAGATTCTCTTTCCTGCTAGATTTACAGTCACAACGCTCCAGCAGTTATGTGACTTTCATATATTTTTTTGGTTCATGTTGTTGATGTTACCCTTTACGGCACGGTTTATCGCTCTTAAACCTCAATTCATCTAACAGGGTTTAGTTCTAGGAAGTAAAGGCCGTTCATATCGTATTCACTGTTGAATATTCAAAGGAATCTTTATCTGCTATATAGCTATACGTTATGCATGTATTATAGGTAGATAACTCCGGAGTACATTGAATTTCTATTTCTTCAAAATGAGATCCATTTCCTCCCTTGCCTGGATTGCTCGCCCGAGTGATACATGGACTATCCTTGTAGTCACCTGGAGGATTAACCATCCTTAAAAAATAACAAAACACCCTTTATAGACAAGAAATCGCCCAATGATGCCGGATCACCAACTGTCTGAAGAGGCTACACCTATGAAAAATAATGTGGGGAACTTTACTTAGGGGGCAAAGGGGAAGGATTTCTCAAAGATTTCTTTATCTGCGTCAACTGGTTGTATGGGAAGAAAAAACACAGAAGGCATTCACAAGTTTACATGTCTAGAGAAGGAAAAATAACAGAGAAGAGAACCCCACAGAAAAATGAAAAATTAGAACATGATCAGAAACTTGAAAAAGAAATCGTAACGGACATCAGAAAACCGGCGCTTTATTAAAAGAAGACATTTAACCTTTGTTTTAACCCATTATAATGAAATAAGTAGCCAGGAGATCACCAACTAATATTAACCAAACCTTGCATGTAGGGAGCACAAAAGAAACACTTGGAATGGGGATTTTACACAAAATGTTTTCAGTGCCTCTTCTCCTTGTCAGCACGCATCTTCTCCTTGCGAGAAAGACGTTCCATGGCACGGATAAGCGCGGAGCGGATCTCACCCTTGGGAAAGCTGGATATGTCGTAATAAATCGGTGCAATATCCTAAGTAAAGGACTGGATTAGTATCATCGATAAGAATTACATGGGAGGACACCTGACAGAGGGACATGCCCAGGTTTAAGATAAAGAAAGGCGGGGAAACTTACCAAGAGCCACTCTCCCTTCACCGCAGTGACTGTTCGGACATAGCTCTTTGTTGTAAGCACAAACTCATTATACAGGACCCATTCCGCTTCGTGTCCAAGGACACTGCTGGGATGCAGCAAAACGGGCTCATTGTTGTCCTTGACAGTTCTATATAGATTCTTTCCCTGGCTCTCTTTCTTAGCGACTTGCATAAAAAAGCCTGCAACCAATGCGCGACGAATATTTTCGTAATACTTCTTGTCTTCGAATGGGGTGGATACAAGCTCGATCTCCTCACGTTCCATGATACGCTGCAGCTGCTGGCGGACGTTATCTGCGGACTGTAGGGCTCGAAGGGAAAGGAAATGATCGTGGCACCACTGGCGTGGGTTGGCTTGGGCTTCAGGACTTTTGAAAGCGTGATACGCATTTAAGAGGGTAAGGTGATCGCCATCCGGGTGTGCGAAAAGGTTCTTCATTTCATCAGCACGCTTGCGTTGGGCGGCGGGGCGAACGAAGATTTGTTGGACGGAAAGCAAGGAGGTAATTGAAAGGATCTCGTTGGAACAGTAGAATTCCGGTGAGCTGATTAACATCACTGCAAGGGCAGGGTCCAACGGAAACTCAGATGCAAGACGGCCTAACGGAGTAAGATTCCCATCGTCATCCAAACAAGCCAGATAGTTGAGTTCTTCCAAAGCTCGCATGAGAGTTTCAGGGGCTGGTGGATCCATAAGGTCGAAGTGGACTAGATCCTCGATCCCAAGCTTTTTAAGGTCCAATACTGTGGACGATAGATTGGAGCGGAGAATTTCCGGATATGTTTGTTCAATGAGTTCTTTCTTGAACGCCTCTTCGGTATATAGTCTGAAACATTTCCCAGGGCGCGTACGGCCGGCACGACCAGCACGCTGCTGGGCTGAGGCTTTGGAAATTGGTGATACCAACAACGACTCAACACGGATACGTGGATTGTATACCTTCTGCTTGGAGAATCCAGGGTCCACAACATACACGATACCGTCGATAGTCAGAGAGGTTTCCGCAATGTTGGTAGACACGATGCACTTCCGTCCGGGTCGCCCTCCTTCCCTGCGGGGGGGCGGGGCAGGTTCGAAAATCCGCTGTTGTTGACCGGGAGGTAAACTTCCATAGAGAGGATAAACTTTCATGGGCCCTGCGTCGGCCTCTCGAATCATCTCATCCACCTCAAGAGATATCTTGCGCACAGAGTCTTCGATTTCCTCTTCACCAGTCAAGAAGAGTAAGATATCACCCTCAGGCTCGTTGGCGTGAATCTGCAAAACTGTTCGAATAGCCGCCTCCACATAATCTTGCTCTGGCTCCGGGGTATAAAATATTTCAACAGGATGGGTCCGCCCGGGGACTGCGAGGAGTGGCGCATCACAAAAGTATCGCTGGAACTTCTGGGAATCCAGGGTAGCTGACATGATAATCAATTTAAGATCTGGTCGACGTTGAACCACCTCCTTAAGCAAACCCATGAGCACATCAGTGGCCATTGTTCTCTCATGGGCCTCATCCAAGATAATAGTGCTGTAGCGTTTCAGGTCATGATCATGCATTGCTTCACGCAATAACATTCCATCCGTCATATATTTCAGCATCGTCTTTTGACTAGTCATGTCCTCAAATCGAATACTGTAACCGACTTCCTCCCCAAGCTTAACGTCCATCTCAGCTGCAACGCGCTCTGCAACCGACATAGCTGCAACTCGTCTGGGCTGAGTACATGCCACCAGTTTACCGCGCTGATGCGGAAGGTCGTCGAAAAGAACGAACTGAGGGATCTGAGTAGTCTTTCCCGAACCGGTCTCACCGACGAAAACGAGGATTTGCGACTGCTGGTACAGTTGTAAGAACTCATCTCTACAACAGATATCGCGATTAGCCCGTCTACATGCCACACACAAGGAACCGAACAACATACCTCTGAGAATGAACGGGCAGATCCCTTCGCTGTTTCAAGATCGAAAAATAGCGGTTTGAAAGTGGTTTTCCATTGAAGGGGTTTACTGCAGCATCCTCCGCTTCTCTGGCCATGGCAGCCGTTGTCTTGTGTCGCTCAAACTCGTCCAGGATGGAACCTTCAGCGGAATACCCGTTTGAAGGCTTCTTCTCATCCTCATACCAGTGGGCTAAGTACTTGTTCTGACGAGGGTCCATGTCTGCAGTTTCGGTCTTCTGCCTCTTTTTCGCACGGGAAGAGCTGTCACCGTCGAGTCGCTGATCACCCATGGTCACCAGGAGAGGAGAGGAGAGCTCAGTAATTTCAACAGATGTCTATAGGATTTGCCCCAAATGCGTTGTGAAATTAGCTCAGGTTGCCTGGGTGAAGCTGCGAAAACGCAACATCAAGAAAAAGTAAGCAAAAGGCGACCACAAGGGGAAGGTTAGCCGAGGGCGGTGTCGCCTACACTTCCTCTGGTTGAGATGTCAGAGCAACACAAATTAACTAAGCAAAGGCTTTAAGTTAACTTAGTTCAGTTAACCAACTCTTAACTACAAATTTGTTTGCAACTTCACAACAGTCCTCTGTGGATGTGGATGGATGGTTGCCCACCTCCACCTCTTTAATTCCACTCCTCTTTGTTAGGAGCTGAGATGTCCAGTGAGCTAATATGGATGTTTGGATTTCCTCATAGCTTTTCTTTTCCAAGCCCTGTAATTACCGCCCCTCTTCAATACACGCTACCGCTGCCCCGCTTGGTTGAGAGAGCAACATGCAAGCCGCTTAATGCCTCAATTTCGGGACCTTTTTTTTTTTTTTTTTTTTTTTAATATATATATCTCCCGCTCGCCATACTCCGTGCTAGCTGGCTATTTCATGTGCTTTGCAGTCTTCCTTGTTAATTCCCCTGACAGCGGCCTATTGCCATATAAGTTGCTGCAACAATGGAGGGAGATGAAGATTGGGCCCCGACTTTTTGTATCGGCCAACATGAAACTCGGCGCACTGTACCGGTTTCTCCTCAACTGGTCCAGCTAGCGCAGGAGGGGGATGTAAGTATTCCAGCAGAAATATGTGTTGATACGTCTGCAGCAAGTTCGCTAATGACCTCCATATCAGTATGATATGCTCACCACGCCTATTACAACGCCTCTCTTTCATTCTCGAGTTCTCACACTGCTTTCTACTCATCTTTCCGACTCAAAACCACCGGTTTATGATGCTACCATAACCCTAGGGACGTCACATAATACCCACCCTGTGACGGTCCCTCCCCTTTCACCTGATGATACCTTTTTGACACCAAATGAATGTACAAGCCAGTTGGTTGGAATAACGAGTCCATGGATAGATCTATGTTCACCGGATCCTCTAATAGCAGATATATCCCGCCAGGTATTGGATCTAGAGGTTGCCTACGCTGCATTCTGCGGTGTCAGCTTCATAATCGTCCCAGGCCCCCGGCTTTGTCATGGAAACTTGCATGGAGAAGGCCTAATATATTTTGGTCGTGCAATTCAGGATATTTTGAATGTTGGACTATATATCCAGGTCCACATCTGGTTTAATATGATAGATACTTCAGAGCTGGAAACTAATGATGTTGGCGACCTCGCGCCGTTCGCTAGAGCGGAATACCTTACACCGGCAATTGGGCCATCTCTAAAGGTGGATTTATTCGGTACTTGGGAAGCTTGGGATGTCATCAGGAAGCTGTGTAAATACCAGTCAAGACTTTTTGTAGGTAAGAATAAAATCATTTGGATGACATTGCTCGTACCCTTCTTCTACCCCATTCTCAGCAGCTTTATGCCTTCCTGCTGGCATGAAATTGGAGACACTGCTTTCTCTCAGTGACCCTTACTGATTTGGATTATCCTGGATTATCCAGCGTTATCGTTACCAAAACAATTGCCACCCATGTCTGTACAGTTACGATGGCAATCTGAACCCGTTCATATCCTTACAATCGCTGGCTCATCGTTCATCAAGAATCAGAAAGGGTACCCCGTGTTATCAAAGGCTCACCAAGCCCTGATTGCTCGCATGATGCGACTTCGTAATCCTCCTTGGATCATTCTCTGCGACGTTGGCCCGATTGCTGGGTATGAGGTCAGCCAATCGGGATCTGAAACGGACCCTACTCCGAAGATCAGTCCTGAAAGTGATTCAAATAGTGCCGCTCCCACGCCTGCTGAAACGCACCGCCAGTTCAAGTCTGGCTCAAATAAAAAGAACTTTGACCCAACTCCGCACCTGTCCTACATCAGGAACCTTCAACAGAAGCAACCCGGTCGAACTCCCATGGAACGATTTGGGGTGGGATATCAAGACTATCTGCAGGCCCCATTACAACCACTGACTGTTAACCTTGAGAGTATAACATATGAAGTGTTTGAGAAGGATCCCATTAAATATGAGTGGTATGAGCGCGCGATTGCCAAAGCCTTGAAGGATTGGGCAGCACAGGGGAAACCAACTTGCCATCCCGAAGGACATGTGGTGTTGGCCGTAGTTGGTGCTGGTCGAGGTCCATTGGTAACCCGAGCAATCCGTGCAAGCGTGGAAGCCGGCGTTGTTATTGAAGTTTGGGCCGTTGAGAAAAACCCCAACGCTTACGTGTTGTTACAGAGGCACAACGCCAGTCTATGGGGTGGCTGTGTGAACTTGGTAAAATCTGATATGCGCAGTTGGAAAGGTCCTCACCGTTTAGCCCCTGAGTCTGGTAAGCACGCGCCAAACCGCTGAAGCTGACAATGAGATGCTAAAAGAGCATTCCTACAGGCTCGGGAGAAGAACAGAAAATTATTCATACGCCAATTGATATATTAGTATCTGAGCTGCTGGGCTCATTCGGAGACAACGAGCTGTCCCCCGAGTGTTTGGACGGCGTTACCCACCTTCTCAACCCAGTTCACGGGATTTCGATCCCAGCATCATACTCCGCGCACCTATCACCAATTTCATCCCCGCGTCTCCATGCAGATATTGCGGCTCAATCGATAACGAACCCAGCCGCACCAGAGACGCCGTATGTTGTAATGTTACATGCATTTGATTTCCTCTCCACAATCCAGCCGTCAACACCCGCACCCATCGCAACAGCGGGTAGACAGAGTGACAAAAGCCCGTCCCCTCCCGCCAACGACCCATCAACCCCGATAATTCAGTCCGCATGGTCCTTCTCACACCCCAATCACAACATCCCCCCACACTCATCGACGTCATCCACAATTTTAAACTCCCACAACGTTCGACGAACCAGATTGGCATTCCCATGTCAAAAACGTGGCACATGTCACGGGCTAGCTGGCTACTTCGAAACGGTGCTGTATGATGATGTCGAGCTATCGACGAATCCCGTCACGATGGATGAGAAGAGTCCTGGCATGATCAGTTGGTTTCCAATATATTTTCCGCTTAAGGTTTGTTTCAGTCATTCCCACTCCTTCCTTTCACGGGGAATAAATATTGTTGAAATTAACCAACATCGACAGACCCCCCTCATCGTTCCCCCCAACTCAGAAATCATCGTGACGATGTACCGCCAAACTGACAACCGCAAGGTCTGGTACGAATGGATCGTCGAGGTGTTTGCATGGGATACATCATTAGCAACGACTGCTGCTGATATCACTAACGTCGCATTGTCGCCACCATCTAAATCTTCCTCATTATTGGAGGCGAAGGATAACGAGAATCGGAGGGATTCAGTAGCCGCTCCTGTGAGCCCAATGAAGAGAGTACGGGTGGCGATGAGTGAGCTGCATTCAAGTATCAAGGACGGATGCCTAATGTGATGATGCTGTTGATATGATGTTGCTGTAGGAAACTTGATGGTTTTGTCTGATCTGTTCTCAAGTCTAACTATTCAGACCGTGCTGAAAAGGGAGATTAAGCCTCCGTCTCTCTACCACCTAATACCTTCGTGTCTTCTATTTGCTCGTCTGTTTGTCTGTCTGTGGGTGTCTAATTAATGTCCCTCTCTTCATCCTATGTTCTCCTTCTACCCAGAAAACCCCTCCTCCCTCTCTCCCAAAATCCTTCCCTTCCCTCTCCATCGACAACGAAATATACAGGTATGCTACAGCCAGCGATACATAAATACGAGATAATCTAATGACAAACTAAAGCAAAAGCTGAGATGCTTTCAACCAATGAAATGAGTCAAAGAGAATTAAGAATTTAATCTACTTTATCTCTTCAGCAACCAATACAATTACTTCCCGAGAAACTTCTAGACTCAAGTGAAGTTGTGGGTTCGTGTTGGCGTCACGGATACTCTCCCCTTTCCCATTTACGTTATCATACAACGTTAGCACTCAGTAGTCCCATATCCTTCGAGCCTCCATTCAATCCCTGATTCTCGCCCTCTGTAAGCCCCTTCCGAATGGCAAGAACGCTATCGACAATAACAGCATCAATGCCTTCTTTAACTTGCATCTATACATTCAGGAACTGTCAGCATACTCGAAAACCAACAGAAAAGCAAAGAATCCATGCCTACCTTAACGTTCCCAGGCTCATTATTTGCAATACCATACGAAACACACACAAGCCCAGATTCCTTAACAACCCTGACAAGTCTAGGAGCAATAACCAACGGCTCCGCCGCCGTCACCACGCCCAACAAATTCCACCGCGACGCAAACCGTATAGCCTCCTGCAGACTGCTAGCACGCACGTCGCCAACATTTGTCATTCCCGAATCCGTCAGGAACATAACGGGGATCGAGGGTTGTTTGAACGAGAGCAAGAGGCAGATGTCCGGGTTGAAGGAGGAGAATATCATGTTACGACCCTGGCCGAGGTCGTAGACGGAGGTGAGCACCGTGTCGACGAAGGAGTTTAATTCAACGGCGTATGTGTCCATTTCTTCCTCTTCGGATTCGTGGAGCATAGGGTATTCTGGAAATTTTTTTAACAAAATCGGGTAAGGTTGGATCACTGATAAAGAGATATATAGATTCGATCCGTTTGTCAAGTGGGGAAAGTTGGTTTTTACATACTGAGCTCAATATTAAACCCAACAGATTTGGGTAACTTCCTAAATAATTCCTCTAGCGTTGCGAAGGGGGCTTGGATGTGACTGCCACGCGTATTGCCCTTGAAACCCTTCTTCTTGAAGTCACGCGTATGCTTCATCTTCTCGCTCATGTGTATTGACGACGCGAACTGCTCTCCAACAGACATGGATCGTTGACGCCTTGCGGCTGACGTTCTCAGATCTGCCAAAACGGGATCTACGGGTATGGATGAATTGGATGAAGTGGCAGATTCGCGCGGTCCGCGAGCCTCGCTGAGGTGTAGGAACTATGGTCATTGTTAGATTCCAAAGAACGGACGGCACAACATCAACAAATCTAAGAAATAAATCAAGGGAGTGGCCAGAACTCACTTGCTCCAGGGTCAGCGTGTGTACTGGTGCATCTATTCCCGTTTCACTAACGAGGAAATCATGGTATATTACGGGAACATGATCCTTCGTCAATTGAACATCTAGCAACAATGGTCAGTTCAAGTGATATTCACCCGCTTATGGTTTGAGATGAAATAGGATATATACCAAACTAAGTCATGAGTGATATGTTAGCTTTCTTCCAAAAATGGAATAGTAGACATTCGTGACATTAGCAACAACTCACCTCAACATAAGATGCGCCCAGATTTGCCGCTGCAATGAAAGACTGTAAATGTCAGATATAACTCGCAGTTCTCAACTGCCAGAAAGGCCCCGTAATATACGACAAACCTGGATCGTATTCTCTCCCAATTGCAATGACTTGCGCCCAGCCATGTTCTTTCCAAGACCTGGATTTATCGTATTAAGTTAGGAATAAAAATCGAACAATAATGAAAATAAACGTGTAATCCTGAAAATAGAGAAAACGGGAAGAAAAGGAAGAGAAATTCACCTCGATGTCCAATAACCATAGGCGAAGCCATACTCTTCCAATACGTCTGCTCCTCCGTAATCGACATGTTCGGATGTTTAAACGGCGTGATAATCAAGAAATTAAACGTTACCGTCCCAATGATATCAAGCGTATTCGCCGCAATAATCGGCACCGTCACATCTCCTTGCAAATTTATTCGTTTCGAGCCAACTGTGGGTTTAATACTGGACAACAACGCGACGCCCCGACCGACAATCTTCTCCTTGGACCCGGAATAGGTGGGTATCAGGTCAAAGATGATCTTCACCTTCGAGGCATCCGCGGCATGGAAGACGATAGGTTCCGTCGCGATGCTATCTTGGATAGGTAGGTCAATTATCTCAGGCTCACCGTGCGCATCACTAGCGGAAACGACGATGGATAGGGCAGTGTCTAGCTGTGTTAGATGCGCGTTGGCCATGGGAATGCGATCGAGATCGACTGCGGGCACTGTTTTTCTCATATCCATCGTCCCCAGACTGACCAGCACCATGCTCTCGTCTGTTAGATAACGATGGCCAAAGGTCTTGATGGGTTCCGCGGCACGATCGTTGGACTTGCGCTCAGCCAGAGACGCCTGCGTGGGCGGGGACAGGGACCAGGCTTGCGGAGTCGGGCTGTCAGAATCGCTCATGACCTCAATTGGCGGGGTGGTCTCTGCCAGTCGACGGGCAATAGCGATATGGCCCCTAAGAGCAGCATGTTCCTTCGCCGTCCAACCGGAAGAGTCGAGGCGTTCCAGGTCCGCACCTGCTTCGATGAGTAAGTCAACTACACCCAAACTGCCATCAACGCAGGCAATGAACAATGGCGTCCAAGAGTAGGTATTTTCCGCTAATTCTGTGTTGGCCTTCTGATCGTTTGATCCATTCAGCAGCGCCTTGGCGCACGCATCATGGCCGAACCGTGCAGCAACATGAAGGGCAGTTTCACCCTGCTCGTCCTGGTAATTGATATCGACACCAGCATCGACCAGGAGCTGCACAATGTCAACAAAATTTGCCTTGGTGGCAAGAGCTAGCACAGCACTCGACTTGGACATGTGCTTTCGGATGGCAGCTTGTTGGTCGTTTCCTCCTCTCCAATTCTCAGCATTCAAGAGCGCTCGGGTGGTCAGGGCATGACCTCCAATGACACTTAGATGCAGCGGCGCCCAGCCCTCATCATCCTGCCAGTTGGGCCCGTCAATCCCCTCGGAGACATCAAACATGTTCCACGCCTGCAGATGCTCAATAATAACCTCACATACCACTCTGAACCCATACTGAGCTCCATAATGTAGTGGAGTCCGGCCAGAGATGTCTTTGGCAAGTAGCGCACTTCGCTGTTTCGGGAGTAGATTGTCTAGGAGATGCTGCAATATCGAAACTGCATCGTCTGCCTTACTTAACAGGGAGGTCTGCTCTGACTCCTTCACCACAACACGTGTGGGTTGGAGGGTTGGGGCAGCAGCAGGAGTGATGTAATTGGAAGCCTCCACAGGGAAGTCAAGAACTTGCGCAGCAGACAATTCAGTATCGCTGGTTGACTGCGAACGCCCAATGGAAATAACGAGACGATGGATACAATTACGTTTGTTGATATCGTCATCCTCGTCAAGCGTGTCGATCTTCCCCAGCAAGGAGACAACGGAATCTCTAGCACGATAGAAAATGGCACGTTGTAATAGGGCTTTGACAACGTTGGCATAAAGAGCTGCATCCAATTCCTCCGCAGCAATCCTCAGCGTGGGCAGGAGCTCCAACAAAATATGAGTATCATCCTTGCGCAGGGCATCATCGACAGCCACAAGCAAACTTGGAGGGAGATTAAGGTTAACTCGAGAGGTTGGTTTCCTCATTGACAAAGAGGAGTGTGTGGAGCTCGCATCGTCAACACTCTTCTCATCTCCCAACACAGATAACCAATCATTGATGCTCTTCAAAGATTCTTGCAAGCGGGAATTGGTAGCAAATGGCGCTGGGTCAACCTTGGTTGGTAAATAGCGCATCTGCGCCTGAGCACCAGGGAGCTTCTTATCCAGCTTCTTCGTAATTTTAATAAAACCCCGACGATTGACCTCTCCATACCACTGCAACTTCCTAAGCTGGCCGCGCAGCTCGAGAAGAGCAGCTAGGAGATCCTCGACATCTTCAGTCCCGGGTCTGTGTGAAGCTATGACGGAATGGCCATAACGGTCTTCCAGCAGCTTCAGACGGCGTGAGAAGTCTGCAAACTTTTTGTTGTAGAAATGGTCGACATCTTCAAGGTTGCGATCAAGTGAATAGAAGAAACCTGCACAATAAAATTAGATCTTTAATGCATACAACAGTACACATATAATATTCATTGGTGAATAAATGTGGGCACCAAAAACCCACCAGCTAAGTCCGGATCATGACCCTCCTTCTTTGCTTCGATTTCCAATTTGATCAGCTTCTTTAAGCTCTTGTATTTGATATATGACGAACCCCACTCAGGCACGACATTCCGGGCAAGATTCCGTCCGAATTTCATGTTGAATAATATGCCCTTTCTTTCGTATATATCTGTAAGGAGCAGCCCGGCTTCCCTGAAATTGAACGTTATATATGCAATGGACGTTGGTTGTTGTTCGGAACTTGTCGAGAATCCTCCCTAAGCAAAATATGTGTCGAAATCGATATTGAAGGGTTAATGACGAGAAAAGAGGGGAGAAATCGTCGATGAACAGTAGTTAATCTAAAGAGAGGGGGAAAGAGCATGAATCTGTAAAAGAAAGTGTAGTTCAGGAAAAGAACATAATGGAACAAACTGAGGAAAAATTAATATAAAGAAAATAAAAAGCAGAAGAGAAAACGACTAAAAGGGAAACAGGTGCAGACCCCATGTTGCTATATATTTTAACATTTTAGTGTTTTTCCCTTTTGCATTTTGGATATCTCCAGGAGCAGTTGGTTTTGGGGGGCTGCTTCTTCGTCCACTTAGAAGGACTCAGGTTCTTTGGTCTTCGGAGTAGAGAGATGGAAGTAGTGGTTGTTTCTCGATTCCTATATAGCCATGCACAATATTCTGTCATTAATTAGAAATTATTCAATATTAACTGGTGGCCGCTGACGAGAGTAGAGGTTGGGTGTGATAAAAGACTTGAAAGGAGCTTCAGATGTCACTGTTGTGCACACATACACACCCTTACGTCAATCTCTCTGTTAGCTTTGAACAGTGGTCGATATAGCCAGTATATGTGGCGCAAATGCTTACCGATATGTATCAATTGTAAGAGTGATGGTCTCAATAGGAGACGAGAAGAAAGAAAAGAGATTTTAAATCAACCTCCTCCCCCAAGAGTTGAAGACTTGGTCAACGGTCAAGGTAGAGCTTTCTTGTGTGGGTCGGTAAGCAGCGATTGTGAGCCGTGAATGGCTGGGACAGTTGTGGGATGGCGTCAGAGTGGTCAAAATTTAACGTTAGCTGGTGCCACCAGTGTGAGTTCCGGCGATGAAAGCTCCGCAGGAAGCAGGATATGTCAACAGAACCTCGAGAGGAGAACAGATGATAATGAGAATAATTTCAAGGGATGTGTGATGTTTAAGAAGAAGACATATGGAGACTTGGCGAAAATGAAGATGAAATTGAGCTGCGGTTAAGAATAGAAACTCAGATGTAACTTTAAACCTTGTTACTCAGCATTATCAGATGATAGTTAACTAGTTAATATGTACGATGACTCACCCCGCTGCGCATGACATAACTAGTGAATTTAAATAAATGAGCTTTTCTACAAATTATATCCTGTAGATATACAATTTGATAATCTAATGAAAAAAATTAAACACTTCAATTAAAACATTATTGAATGAGTTTAATTATTATAAATATATTATTCTATACAAAATTTATATTTAATTCACTACTAGAATTAAGTAATAATTAAATATAATTTATATAATATATTATATTATATTATATATAGTTATGATTTTATTGCTATTAATAACATAATTAAAAATGAATTAAAAGTAAAAAAAATTAGAAAGTATAATAAAAATATTATTATTATATTAAAGATTTTTTAACTAAGATTTATACTTAAATATATTAATATAATTATTTAAATAAGTTAATTATTAATAATTTAATTTAATTTAAAATACTGTATTTAAAAATTATATATGTTATTGCATTTACTGTAGTTATATGATTTAAACTTTACTGGTGAAGATAAAGGAATTAAATAATAAACTTCTGATTTACATTCGGAGCGTTTCTTTTCAATGGTCTTTGTGTCGTTGTTACGACGCTCTGTCGCAGGCCCCTCCGCCCACAGCCCTCACCCTTAAACTCCACGCACCAACTTGTCCACGTGATCATCCCGCTCCACGATATTTCTCTCCCAAGGGCCACTTGATACAATATTTCTGTCACCCCTTTCACCCGTGCTAACATGCTAGTAACCATGGCTCAACAAAGAAGAATATTCACTCTGAACATTCAACGTCCAATCTCTCTTTGCCCCAAATACGGTCTCTCCTCCCGTCCCTCCTTGTTCCCATCATCATGGTCTTATCTTCTCAACCTCATCTCATCAATCACTGTCAGCAGGAGCACGGAGACGGCCGCAAACCATGGCACAGGAAAGGCCCCGCCAGTCGGCTCCCAGGGCCAATGATGATATCGCCGATGAATCATTTGCCGCTGATACTTGCAGTGCACCTGACTGCAAGTACAAGACTTGAGTTGACTGACCCAAACCAACCCTACCCCCCTGCCCTTCCCTCGGGGCTGGACATAGGGGCAAAGAACATGAGTGACATGAGTGACATGAACACTGTGATTTCAGACCTACACCTGTATCAAAACATGGCATGAAGGAGTCAACTGATTCCACCCGCTACCAGAGCCTCTATGAGTACCTCGTCAAACATTCCGTCTGATTATGATTGTTCGGAAAGACCAAGAAACTCAAGATGCAGGTGAAGGATTATTGGTAGTGATAAGCGCTACCTTCATTCATTTTTGGGGACTGCGTGTCGTGTCTATAGTGACATTTCCCTGGCAAGTGAGACCTACGAGCAGATGCCCAAGATCTTGTGCAATCTGTACATCTTGCCGAAGCCATTCTTGCTCCTCAGCAGTTACAGTGCTGTTGTCGTATGTCCAGGTCTGTCAAAATCCAACAATACCACCCTTTCTCCAGGAGCGACCATTAAATTTCTTGATTTCAGATCATTATGCATGACCAAAGCAGCAGTTGTAGGTTTGACGGCCTGGACAAATTTAGCCTGACGCTCTTTAGAGAAGCAATTGACGCATGTCGGGATTATAATCGATAAATATCGCACTTGGGAGCTCTGTGTCATTTATAAACATATTTAGATGTGGCTGCCAAAGTCCGGGTTCAAGCTTTTTCATGCTTCCATAGAATTGAGGCACATTCCCTTTTCAGATATGCCATGGGCCTGGGAGTCGTTGGTAGGTAGTGGCTTCACGCTCAAGGATGCGCCCGTGTCCGAAATGATCACGGTGCTATTTGGCCGCACTCGGTCAGCTCCCTTAGATGTCATATATCACTAATAGTACCCTCCACTATCATAACACATCCAAATCCCTAAACTGATCCCAAGAAATCCACAGCGTTGTGGTTGCGGTGCAGCTCCTGATGGAAAACCACGTGCAACGGACGAACGTTGTTGATTTTCATCCTGAGGATGAGCGAGATAAATGGTTTATAAGATCTACTACCTTTTTATTGACGGCCAAAAGGTTTCAAAAGGTCTCTCAGTCAGATATCGTTATAGTTGGGTCGTTCTGGCGCTCAGTTCAATGGTTTCATTAAGAGTGCTGTTTAATCTTGACCCTCCATCTCGGGGTTGTACGGCGGATTATTGACAACTAAACGCAGCATCTAGGCAGAACGGTCCCAGACTATCCCAGCGCCAACGTTATCTGTGCGATCTCATTCGCTCCTCGCTTCAGCCATGCTTTGTTGTCTGCTGTGGTTTGGGTTGCTGGCCATACCGGCCATCCCCAAGATTGCATGAGAATGGCATTTATATGCAAGGCGGTGGCTTATAGTCTGATGTTCATTCATAATATCGTATATATAACATTCTGCCCTGAAAGGGTCAGAACTGAGGCTCCTCTCACACTGCTGCCACTGCAGAAGCACTGGCCCGTGATAACTTCCGTCCTGCTTGCTTGGTCTCGCGACTGGCCGCATTGGGATCCGTTAACAGGATGTTGTATCTCCATGGCAGTGCCAACGCCCTAAACCTAAGGCTTCATCACATCAAGAACATCCGAGTCGCCGAAATTGATGATGTCAACCATTTTCGCCAGATAGTCAGGGACCAGAAGATTGAGAATGAGATGTACCACTGAGGGTGCCAGCAGCGGGTTATGGATGTGTTGGAGAGCTTGGTTGAAGACTATCTTCTTACCGACTATGATCATGATGAAGCGCAGCTTGAGCTAGACCCTTTGTTTGGAGTCCAGATTGAGGATAAGTACGAGGCTTACAGGGTTAAAAAAAGGTCAATATCCTTTGTCAAGGTAGTAGAGCAGCTGAAGCTTTTCTTCTATGTTACACAATTATCAACCAAGTAGTCAACAGCATATTTGCATATTTCTCAAAATAATTCCCAATCCCCTTCAAGAGGCAGATAAAAAAGCCAGTCACCAGAACGTAATGGGCAAACTGTGTTAAGAGACTTGACAAACTCCCAGCAATCTGGATATATACCACCGGCCTCCTAGTCAATCAGACCAGTCGCTTAAATCTCTCCTCCATCATCTTAACAGCCAGAATATTGCGGGGATGCAGGTCGCCATGTGTCAGAATAAAGTCTTGATTTTCTCGTAAATGGGCCTGATAAATTTGACATAGTGTTCCATGCCAGGCCGACTATTTCCAGACAGAAGGAATTCATTGAACTGAGTTTCAGTCTCCATGCACAAGGGACTTTTGCACCTCTTTCACATTCTGCAATCAACACACTGGGGCCGGTTCCCACCACCAAGATTGATGTGGTATTGGTACCAATCGGAGTTTCTTCAACATGAAGTCCAATTGATCCCAGACAGAGCCTTTCACAACATCTGTAAAATTTAGCCAGAGTTTATTAGTGAGCAACTGTTGATGTGACAAATGAATGAATAGATTATGCCAAAACCGTCGTGATTGCTTCACAGCACACCATCAGAGAATATCAAACGTATTAAATCATTGTCATCCGACAGTATGACATGTCAAGTAGTTGACTCCCTCAAAAGGCTCCGGAACTGGGTGTTTGCTGTTCCTCTCGGATGACCAAGAATTGCGACAGGAGAAGGCATTGCTTCTACACAAAGCGGCAATAATGATACAAACATCAGCGGCTGTCTTGACCATGGCCAGACCTACAAGAAAGACGGAAAGTGATATAAGTGTCATAAATTCCAGATCAACAAAAATGCGGACAATTCAAGTCTGAGACTATTTGCAAACCAAGACAGCCACCCTGTCCGGGCCCAGGTGGACCTGGAAATTGATGTGATACCTGACAAAGAAGCCGTGGAAAAGCTATTCAATGATATCCAGTCGGGGCTAGAGCGCACCGTAGTATCACACCTAGGGATATGCAAGCCCGCGCCCTTCCAATGTGATTCTGGGTTGTCATACTTTCTCTTATGTTGTTCTGTGAGATGGTACATAAGGAGACGCTTAACTAGATGCCGCGAGATCATGTGATACCTTAGGGGAGAACCTCAAAATCATCAACCAACTTAAACTACATACCAGCTACCAGCTAACTGTTGCTGCTGTGAACATGAGAAACAATCAACTCATCTCATTGTGAAAGTCCGCTCAGCTTGAAGACAATAGGAGAGTGAAACAAGAATCAATAAGAGAGAGCCACTTTATGTAAAACTAAATGAAAAAGAAAATACATTGCTTACAATATTTTTCTCAATATGATACAAAAAGAATTTCTATGATATTTGTAGATATATAGTTTTTTAATTTAAATATATATATATATATATTTAATTAATTTAAATTAAGAAATTTTCAATTGCTTCTTTTTATATAATTATTAAAAATAAATTAAATTTTTAATTATTTAATAATCTATTAAATTACTTTCTAAATATTTAACTTTTAAAATAATATATTAATTTTTTAATTTTTATAATTATTATAAAAGTATTATTTAATTAACTAACTAAAATTTAATATTAATAATAAAATTAAAACTTTATAATTTAGTTTTTATAAGAAAATAGAAAATAAAGATAAATTATGAAATAAAGATAAATATATTTTAATAAAAATTAACTCAAAAATAAATTTTACTTAATTAAATTTTATCTAAAATCTACCTTCTAAAAAGATTTATTAAAATATATAAGTTTAATTCTTCTTCTTTATCTCTATAGAGTTTCTTGCATTTTTACTGCAAATTCAATGATAATTGTGCATTGAGATGAATGGTTGAGTTAGTTAGATCACTGTAGGGTAGTTTTTGAATTGATTTGAGATGTTGGTTGGAAGGAAAGTACATTAGCATTCCGCTAATTCGCTATGCCACGTTGCGCGGCCCACTGGCGCGGCCGCCATCTGCCGTGCCCAACCCGTGCCCAACAATTCGCTCGCGTTTTCCTCCAATAACCAACCCATCCTACAACTTGCAACCCGCGGATTCCACGCACGTGACCAGGGTGCGGGCGGTGAGTGGTTGTGTTTTGTGGGATGGTTGGTCTTCCATTGGTGGGAGGACTGGCCAGCTCACTGATATACGCGTACATCACGTGAGGTGGTGCGGCTACCGGGCGGTCATGCTCAACATGTTTAGGGCACATTAACGTCATTCGCTAACCTACACTTGTTGGGAGGCGGGGTGGGGTGTTGAACCTGCGGGGAGCATTGAAGGTCCCATCAACTTCCCGTCTTTATTTACACCAACTTCAGTCTTTATTTCCACAGAGTATCCAAGGGGTGAAATAATAATAATAATACGGAGGAAACGGATGTACTGTACCAGGGTGCGGCATTCTTTTAAGGCAAAACCTAGACTCCCCACATGCACAATACGGTAAAGGCTGGAGGTCCTCACATTGGATTCTCGAGGATATAAACAGCTAATAATAGGGCAATACGAAGCCCCTGGCTGGTGGCGCCCCCCGCCCCCATTCCACCATGAGCGGAATATCAGAGGGGAGCGCAGAGATGATGCAGATTGCGAACAACTTGTCTGCATTGAATACCTGTAGAACAGCCAATGTTTTTTGCCAATCTAGGCACATTTTAGCCGGCATACCATCCATCATTCATGGGTGCCTAGAGTAGAGCGGGGAAAAAGCTGTGTGATAGACGTGTATTTATTAATGGGGGACATAAAAAATTGTATCCCTAGCAAAGAATAAGAAGTACCCGGAAGATGAGTCCATATAAATGAAAAGGGGCAGAGGGAAAACACGAACATGCCAGATAACAAACGACGAACAAGAGGCTTTTGTTTATATACCCCCAATTTTAAAACCCCAAACCCCCACCCAATCCAATCTGGTCTTTATATCGCATGAGAAACAACGAGACAATAATTAATTGAAAAAAGAGAAAAAATACCAGCAAAACCGAAAAATGAAAAGCATATAACAGGTACGATGAAGTGAATAAGCATAATGGCGAGCGAAACCCGTAAAGGAATGTAAAAATCAGGTAGCAGAAAATGACTCCCCAACCCCTGAAAGGACAAAGTAGCAAAGACCAATCCCACATATCTCACCAAAAAAAAAAAAAAGAAAGAAAGAAAGAAAAGAAAAGAAAGTAAAAAAAGGAAGAAAGGGGGAAAAAAAAGAAAAAGAAAAAGAAAAAGAAAAAGAAAAAGAAAGAAAAGAAAACGTTAGGAAAAGTCAATTAAACCAAAAAGTAAAAAGGGCAAAGGGAAAGCAACACAACCACCATCTTTCAGGAAGGTATTTATTTTATCAAGTTTCGGCCAACACCCTCAACGCCTCAACTCCACACTTCAAGACCTCCTCCCCCATCCCTCCACCGCCACCAACACCCCCCACCAAACACTTTCTCAACACCTCCACCGCCCCCTTCTCCCTCAACACCTCCCTCGCCCTCTTGCCCACCTCCCGCTCACAACACGCCATATTCCTCACACAAACCAAGCCACGATGAACCATCTCCATCCCCTTCCCACTCCCACTCCCATTCCCGCCTTCACTTTCACCTTCCACCCGGTCCCCTTCGGCCTCCTCACACATCCCCAACAAAACCTCCATTCCCCTCTCCCTCCCCAACACGGCCTCCACAACCCCGTCAAACTCCGTCAAAACCGCCAACGCGCCCCCGGCCGCCCTCCTCGTCGCCAAATCCGGCACATCAGCTAGTGCAAGCAGGATATGCAACCGTTGCGCGGCGCGGGGACTCCCACCGGCGAATTTCGCAATGCATTCGGGACTGGTTGTGAGGTTGCAGGTTAGTTCGCAGGCGGCGCGTTGGAGGTAGGTGTTGTTAGAGAGGAGGAGGTCTTCGATTATCGGGAAGGCGAGGGTGGTTATCGTGCTTGCTGCTGTTGGTGAGGATGTGTTGGTGCTGCTGGTTGAGGCGAGGTTTGTTAGGGCTAGGAGGGATTCAAAGGTTGGGAGAAGGTCGCGGGGGGAATCGGTTGAGAGGGATTGGGGCTGGGAAGAGTTAGGTTGGAGGAGGTAGATGAGCGGGCGTATGGCGCTGGTTATTTGTGGGAAGCCGGAGGAGAAGATGTGGGATGGGTTTACGGAGATGAGGATGCGAGCCAGGGCATGAGCGGCATTTTGGATTGGTTCGTCGTTGGTGGGGTAGCT